AAAGATCTCCCAGCTCTTTCTTTTTTTTTTTTGTACTTATTTACTGTGTAAAAATGTATCGTAAAAATTTCAGTTCATGAAGTAAAAATACTTTTTTAATTTATTCTTTAAAAGTATTGCAAAAATTTTCGCCTTGGCATATCTTTTTACAAATTCCTCTAATCTCTTTTATTTTTTGAAATTCCAGACATGCCCTTTTTAGAACTTAAATTCTGAATTCTTTCAAATGTACTTTGTAATTTTGTCTTTTTTGTTGCTTTTGCTGCCTTGGTATATTCTGATAAATAACCAAATGAGGAATACAAACAGTTAGAATAGCAGTTGACCTTCAGTACCTTTTTTGTCCGTAAACCTAGCAACCTATTTTTCATATCATCCTCATAATCAGATTCAGTGAAATGATTGTTGCATATTCAAGCACTCTTTGTGTTGACAATATCCGCTCTTCGACACCTATGCAACCATTCTTTCGTTAACTGAATATTTTTGTATGGAAATGCAAAAATATTGCCCTTATATGTATCTTTAAAACGTATCTGCTATCTAGTAATTTCAAGAAACTGAAAGTACTAGAAGTTTCTGGGGAGCCGGGGAAATCTATATAAGACCAAAGAGAGCATCAGACCTTATTTTTTTTTTTTTGTTTGTTTGTTTGTTTGTTTTGTTTAGAGTAGATTTCGAAGTACTGATGAGATCTTCGTGCGAGTTTCGCTCTTTAGATCAGGGCTAAAAATAGAGAAGGGATGGGTCATCCCTTTGAAAAGGACGATGCCTACACGAACCCTCTTGGGGAGAATACCGGATGTTATGTGACGTCAATGGGTTCGTCCCGTCGTCGACTGACTAGAGCATCAAGTGCGAAATATTGAATCTTTAGTTCTTAGATTCTCTTTCTTTAGCCCTGTTAGTTTCAGAGAAAGAAGTTTTTTTTAACTTGAAAGATATAACTGATGATACTTTTAAATGGATTTTGTATTTAGAAAGTTTTTGTAATGAGAAATCATTGAAAAAGTGGTATCGTGTGTCGTTGCTATCTGTAGAAATACGTATCATAATCTCTGTAGTAATATCTGTTGTATACGTAGCGAGGTAGACATTTACCTCAGTATTAAAGAAATTTGCTCCTGCAACCATTTTTTTTTTCAGAGCTTCATTTTCTTTCGACTTTTTATGTTATATTTTACAAAAGATACTAAAATTTCACTCACGATACTGATTTTTACTCAAGATATTTCGCTCATTATACAAAAGATACTACCATTCCAATTCATCTAATTTCACTAAAATTATTTACACATATATAAAATTTGTATCAATAGTTATATTGCGTATGTTTTAGTAAATATTCTTATCAAGCTTCTAAACGTATATAAACGTATAATAACGTATTCATTTTCTAACATACTCTAAATATATTCATTTAAACTCAACAACAACAAAAAATTGGTCTTCGTCTCTCGTGGTTCTCTTTCAGCTTAGCAATCGTATTAGACTCCGTCGAAACGGCATAATGATATGACACGTCATAAAGGGGAAATTAGTAAAACTCTCTCTTTCTCGGACATTCGTCCTATACGTCCAACTCAGTGTTCTCTTATGAAATATCTATAGTGTTCATATATCTCGGATCTTTTTGAAAGGGAATTTTCTAAAGACTTGAGTCTCTGTATATAGCTAATTGCCGTAAATCTCTGAGCTGGGAGAATGATGAATGAAAAGGTAATATAGTAACTATCTACACAACACTTCTAATTCCTGCAAATATAAAATTGAAGTAATTCTCGCACGCCGTCTTCAGTTTCATAAACATATCCAGTGTTGCATAACGATGTGCCCGATTTTAATTAATATTTATCAAAATAACTTTTCGGTAAGAATTTTTGTGAGTATTGAATCAGGAGACTAAACAACTTAGGACTGCCTACAGTAATCCAGTGTAGTTAGAGTAGAAATTATTAATGAGACTGAATAGTAAATAATTTTATATTCTAAACGAAAATGCATCACCTTTTTGCCTATGCAAAGTTATTACTGACTTTAGAACAACTGTTTAACATTCCTACTAAAACAATGTACGAGTGGAATAAATTTGTCGCCATGGTATCTTTTAAACAAACAAGTCACGAAAGACAGAGCCTCTGCTTACATAGAATAAGTCTACGTAAGTTATATACTAAGATACTGCAAGACAATTTTAGCAATAATTCAGATTTTAATTGATTTGGCTTCACTATAAACTAAGTGTTATAACAAATTTATTAGTTTTAAAAAGTGTAAGAGTTTTAAAAAAAACAGTTTAATCTGTTAAATTCATTTAATGAATATAAACCTGACATTTGTTTTTAGAAATCAGTAAATAAAAAAGTGATTTAATATGTAACATTAACTAATACCTTTTATTAAATTAGCTTTTAATTAAATTTACTTAATGGAATACAAATGAGATATACATTTCGTTTTACGCAAATAAAAAAAATAATATCTTTATTTCAGTTACTGACAATAAAAAATAATTTCTTTATTTCAGTACAGTAATAATCGAAATAAGATTTTCATAATTGTTTATTTTTAAAGCTGAATTGAGTAAAAACTAGTACCGTAGTTTTCTTTTAGTTGAAATAGTCTCTAGCAATAAAATAAGCAAATAAAAGTCATTTCATTTTTTAATTCTGTCCAAGAAAAGATTAAAATTTTGTTATACGGAAGTAAATAAAATATATATAAATATTTATATTAATGTAGAATTTTTCTCTTCTCTTGCCGCGTTGTCGTTGAGGATGTAAGCTTTTTCTTCCTCCTTACCGCACAACAGCACATCCGGGGAGCAGAAAGGGTAGCTTCAGCTCAAAGCTGCATGACTATTATAAATAAACTGCTCTTGCTGTCTTCTTCTAAGTCAATTTAATTTCTACATTTGTGAAGCATAAGACGTGTTTGAATAAACAAATGGAAAATGGAAGACATGGAATGGATGGAATGGAAAAGACAGATCAGTTTAAAAATTAACACTAGAACAGCCGAATTTCAGACTAACCGAAAACCGCCATTGGGGGTCAATTTGACCCTCATAAGAAATGTAAGTAGAAACACAGTAAATGATTGAAATGATGCGAAATGATCACATAAAAAGTTTTTAGAGGTTAGAGGTTTTATTTTATTTTTTATACTTTAGAATTTTTTTTTCGTGCTATTAGCGAAATTAGTCACAATATCGTTCAATGTAAGATTACAAAAACAAAAGCAAATCTTTGAAAAACCAACAAAAGATTACAAATGCAAAAAAAGGAAAATAGAACATATGCAAAAATTACAAAAAAAAAATAAATTGGAATAAACCACGCAATGTTTTCCAAAGTTTGTTTACATTACCGCAGGTGATACAATTAACGCTTGACAGTGACAGCAACACATTTACCACAAATGGTTTTCTGGCATCCCTCACAGCTGACAACTCTTGTTTTGTCCCTTGCAACTTTAAATGCACATTTCTTCCTTTAGTGTCTGTATTTGAGCAATCGGGGGGCATCTGTTGCGTAGTGCACCAACTCGTAGTTCTTCCACGAGTGCAAGAATAAATTCTCGACGGGAATAGAGGTGCCCAAGGATTCTTTGAATATAATCCAAGCATTGAGCAGAATGTCAAGGACATTGTAAAAAAAACATGTACAGGCCAACTGCGACTTCCACTACTTGTACTATATTTCCTCAGCATCTGATCTGCGACATCAATGCCACATTTTGTACTGTTGTAGTAAGTGACAGTGTTCGGTTTTTCTTTATGCTGTCGTCAACGAAACACATTACTGTGCATCGTGCTCAGAATCACGACATTCTTTCTGCTCTTGCACCTATTATATTGTGAATGTTTTGTCTTCATTTTTCAGTGCAAAAGATGAATATCGTGTCGAGGAAGTATCACGAGCAATAGGGAGGTAATTATCGCCTTATTCAGAACGCATCGTCTCGACAATTGTGGTTTTTTTCGCAGAACGTTCATCTGCAAGTTTCACAGGAAGTAAAAAAAAAATTGGCAGTTGTGACATTGAGTCCGAAATTTAGAATGTGGTTGCAGCAATTTGAGAACTACACTTTCCCCAAGTTGTAAACTTAGTTGGTCGTTCTTCATTCCTTGCCCAGATAAGGATAACCATTCAAAACATATTTGGATTTTACATCAGTTGCTAGCCAGAATTTGATGCCAAACTTGTCCGGTTTATTCGCTATATACTGAATAAATCTACATCTTGATTTACAAGGCAACAATTGTTCATCAACGGTTATTTCTGGTCCAGGATTATAGCATAAATAATAGTTTTCCATTAGCTTGTACCAGGTTACAGAAACGAGAGCAAATTTGTTAGTGGCGAGACGATCAGCTCCTGCTTCGGACATCGAATCTGAGATACCGCATTATTTCACGGAACTGATTGCGTGACATTGTTTCTTTGAACACAAATGGTCCTCAATTCTTGTTCCACAAATCATCTGCACAAAGTTTGGAATGGCCTAGTTCTCCTAGTGTCGTTTTTCTTATGAGGGTCAAAATGACCCAGTTGGCTGTTTTAGGTATATCTGCGATTATTTGTTTAAATAATTAACGTAGAAATATGAAAAATTGGCATAGTATACTTGGAAACATTTTAGAAAAAGTAAAAAAAATATTAGCTTCGAAGCTCAGCTGTATGTTAAAAAAAAACGCGTAAAATTGGAAAAAAAAAGGTCAAAATGACCCCAACGGCGCTTCTAGTGTTAAACTCAAATAAATCTTAAAACCTTACAACATTGTGACAATACATTTTTCTTAAATTTGTTTCAATTTTTTTTTTTTTTCCAAACATGCTTTTTTTTTACAGCAAATAGGTATATATAAAGATAAAATATTTTATACGTAAATTTAATATTAGCAAATTATTGAATTATTATCTGTTGCTAATTAATTTAATCTTCGTCAGTTTTTGAAGCATCATTCGAAACTGAAATGAAAATAAATTTTCTTGCAGGCACCAGAATCGACGAAATCATCTCTGAGGAACTTAGTAAATTATTTATGTGCTGCTGCTGAAAATGAACTTTTCAAGGTCAGAGCTTTCTTCAGGTGGATTTCAAACAACATCACGTAGGTATATGTTTACCTCGAATCTACATTAAGCAACTGATATATATCAAAGTTTTTAATTCTTCAATCAAAAAATAACATATATGTAAAGATTTTTCAAAAATTTTCATATACAGTGGTACTGTATACGAAACTGTTTTAAGGATATAATTTTTAATACACATTCTTAACTATAATTATAAAAAAGCATATAATTACTTTTTCATGATTTGACAATAATCCTAAAAAATAATTGTACATTTTTATGATTATTTTTTCCTTAGATAAGGGCAGCTTAATAAAAAGAAAATATTAAACTTTTAAAACATCACAATTATGAAAAAAAAAACCGCTATCAGTAAAAAATAAAAGTAAAAATTTACTCGCAATTAATATACATTTAAAACCTTAGTTTAAAAAAAAAAAAAAAAAAAAAAAAAAAAAAAACAAAAAAAAAAAAAAAAAATATAAAATATTGAGGAAGTTTTCGGCCCTAAAGAAATAATAAATTACATTAATTTTAAAAATTTATCTATTTTAATTATTTTTAAACTTTCAAATAAAATCTTAAAATTTTATAAGTTTCAAAATTGTTACTTTAACTTATTATTGTGATATAAAAAAAAAACTTCTAATATAATTAAAATAATAATATAAACAAAACTTTGTTATATAATTAAAATGATAATATAAACAAAACTTGTAATATAATTAAAGTAATAATGTAAACAAAACTTGCAATATAATTAAAATGACAATATAAACGAAACTTGTAACATAATTAAAGTAGCAAGCAAAAATTAGAAAAAAATACTGCTTTTTAAACAAGTTGCCACACAATACTAGTTCAAATCGTTCGATTTTGCTTAGCGACGCGTTCACAATCGGGAAAAGTTTTTATGCGACCTAGCGAATGAGAGTTTATAGGAAAACCGGAAGTTCAGTTTTTACCTCTGCATTGTTGTAAGTTCATTGCTCTAACTATTACTTTGGAAACACTTAGCTCTGAATAATAAATAAAAAAAATAGTTCGCTAGAGAATTTTATCTGGTTAAGTATTCTCTTTGCCTTATCGATCGGTACCTTTCTGCATGATATATGTGTATGATGTGTAGGAAAATAGATAAGCAACTATCTTAGCAATAAACAGAACAAAGGTTAAACATAATTGAATAAAAATTGTAGTTATTACTACATCTATGAGCTGGATACATATTTCCTTTTTTTTAGACATCTGAAAAGTTATTAAAAAAAATATGTCCTCCGCTTCTTCTGGAAAATCGCTAGTCAACAGATCACTAGCATTGCCAATCCACAATCACTAAATACTAATTGCATTTGCTATTTAAACTTACGTAGCCTATTAGGAAACTAAGAACCGTTTCAATCTAGCGCCGTCGCAGCGCTGTGGTAGGCGTCCCGCGCATGCGCACTAGTCTTTCTTGTTCACTGACTTTCAATTGTCGCCATTTTTGGTTGCTCTATATTGTGTTTTCAGTTTGCTGTACACATTCAAAGTGTTTAAGACAATTAGTTCTCCCGCTGACTGTGAGATTAGTGCCGTGATTAAATTTTTGAACGCGAGGAATGTTAAACCGGCCGAAATGTATCGTCAAGTGACAGAAGTTTATGGTGAATGCGCGATAAGTGATGGAATGGTGAGAAAGTGAGTAAGAATGTTTAATGCAGGTCGAACCAATGTCCACGCCGAGGCTCGGAGTGATCAGCCTTCTGTTGTCACCGATGATTTGGTAAGGAAAGTTGATGAAGCAATTCATGAGAACAGACGCTTCACAATGACAACTCTTTCAGAGGCATTTCCACAAATTTCACGTACTGTTTTGTTCGAAATTGTGTCTGACCGCTTGAATAATCGCAAACTGTGTTCCCGATGGGTTTCAAAAATGCTCACTGATGTTCACAGAACAAAGCGACTTGGTAGTGCCCTGACATTTCTCACGCGGTACAGTGATGAGGGAGAAAACTTTTTAAACCAAATTGTGACAGGTGATGAAACTGGGGTGTGTCATTTCACACCAGAATCGAAACAACAATCGATGGATTGGAGACACACTCATTCTCCGAAAAAACAAAAGTTCAAAGTGACAATGTCATCACAAAAATCATGTGCACTGTCTTCTGGGATAGGAAAGGCGTTTTGCTTACTGAATTTCTTCCCAGAGGTGAAACAATTAATGCGGCACGATATTGTGAGACTTTAACAAAACTAAGGCGTGCCATTCAAAACAAACGAAGAGGAATGCTCAGTAAAGGAATTGTGTTGCTCCATGACAATGCTCGGCCCCATACTGCTGATGTCACTCAATCGTTATTCGACAGTTTCATTGGGAGCAGTTCGATCACCCGCCGTACAACCCGGACTTGGCGCCGTCCGACTATCACTTGTTTCCTGCACATGAAGCGCGAGCTTGGTGGCAAGCGCTTTGGATCTTGACGATGACACGAAAAATGCTGTGGAGTCGTGGTTATCGAAACTGGCGGGAAGTTTCTTTGACGATGGTATACAAAAAACTGTTCACCCGCTATGACAAGTGTATTGATCATTGGCTGGAAACTATGTTGAAAAATAATTTACATGTATTTTCATGTAAAAATAAAATTGGATTCGAAAAAATTGTTTCTCTTTTTTTTTTTTTTTTTTTTCTTTTCAAAACGGTATTTAATTTCCGAATACGCCTCGTATATAATTAAAAATCTGAAAGTTTTCAGCTTTTAAATTACGTCCAAAGGGGCGTTTTTTAACGTTTTGTGCGTTACCTTTATTTATTAAACGTCATGTTCTACGTACTCAAATTATAAAATTCAGTTCAACAACAATAGCGTAAATTAATTTTAAAATGAATGTATCTTTAGAATTTCCGATACAGAGACTCGCGCGCTGGAGATGAAAATGTTTTTTTTTCGTACAGTGTTGCCATTGAACGCTTTGAAATCGTTTCGTTTTTTAATAAAAAATTCGTTGAAGTCTTACAAAATCTGAAATCGATAATAAAACAAATTTCAAACTCAAATTAGGGCTTCCACATGCCCATATTCTATGGAAGATTACGTTATTCAATTTTTGATGACTCTAGGTACCGTTGTTTTATCACAATGCGAGGAAACATTCATATATTTCTGCAGATTCTTCACTATTTAATTTCTTTAAACATAAGACAGAACGATAATATATGGTTGCAACGATTTGAAAAGTGATACAGCCTTTTAAAAGTTTCGACGCAAAATGCCAAAATGAAATTAATAGTCCTTCAGGGCAAATTACCCCTTTGGACTAATAAAAGCAGCTATAAACGTTAAATTAGCTAAGCAAAGTTACCTAAAGGTAATAAATAAGAAGAACCATAAGCGTTAAATGAAGTAAGAAAGTTAAATCCAAACGTCCTGATAAAATCCTAACGTCTATCTATAAATAAAAGCAGCTATAAACGTTAAATTAGCTAAGCAAAGTTAACTAAAGGTAATAAATAAGAAGAACCATAAGCGTTAAGTGAAGTAAGAAAGTTAAATCCAAACGTCCTGATAAAATCCTAACGTCTATCTACAGAAGTTATGTACGTTCACTGAAGGATCATCACCTTTGATACTATACTAACACAACGAAATAAAATTCAACAAAAATGCCCTCTTGGAGGACTTTCTAAGGAAAGTGGTTTCAAATCCGCGTGATACATAGGAAAACCATAAAAACCAATCACACATCCATCTCATTCGACTGGGATCAAACCAATGTCAGTGGCTCATTATTTAGTGGTCTCAACCACTCAGCCACTGGTAGAACAACATTCTGAGCGAAGCTTGCTCGTATTCAGCTGCACATTGCAGTCAGTCGATTTAAGATCGAACCCAGGACGAACTACTAGTATCCAGCGATCTTAACTACTCAGTAACTGGTGGGGCCCTTTCTCTTTTATTATTTAATATTTTTAGCGCAGCAAACTTATGCGCACTAAAAGGTTAGTAATTTGAAATATATTATTACCTCAAAGGTGTGTTAGCCCAGGAAGGTTACTAGTCTATAAAAGGCATTTTGCGTCGAATCACTAAAAGCATTAAATCACTTTTCAAATTGTTGCCACCAAATATTATCGCATTTTATTTAAAGAACTTAAATAATGAAGAACCTAGTAATTTAAAACATATTATTAGCCCAAAGGGGTATTAGCCAAGAAGGGCTATTATTCTCGAGACGGCATTTTGCGTCGAATCACTAAAAGCATTGAATCACTTTTCAAATTGTTGCCACCAAACATTATCTCAATGTATTATATTTCAGCAAATTAAACAATTAAGAATGTACATGAATGTACGAGTATGTATGTGCATTGTGAAAAAAACAACGATATCTAGAGACATCAAATTTTGAATAACATAGTCCTTCATTCGAATATGGGCATCTGGAAGGTCGAATTTTGAATTCCGCATTTTATAGTTCATATTTTAGAAGACTTTAATGAATTTTTACTAACTCAACGATTTGAAAGTGAGCAGTAGCAACACTGTACGGTAAAAAAAAAAAATCGTCTATATGAAATTCTAAAGATAGGCAGTTTTTAAATATTTTTAGCCCAAAGGAGTGTTAGCCTAAATGTTCTTGAAGCGTGTATGTGTGTGTAAATGAAAAAACGTCCCTTTAGGCGTGGTATAAAAATCTGAAAGTTTTTACATTTTTTAAGTACTGATTTCATTAGTTTTCTTATATGTACATAATTGTGCGAAAATGATGATACAAGCCGTGCTTTCAGCACAGTCAATCAAAGACTCAACACCGGTTTTTTAAAGTTCTTCTGCGTAGAATCAAATAGACCGTGCTTAATACATATATGAGCTAATAGCGAATTAATGACACCATAATGACGTTTTAATTATTTATAAGAAGTTTTGTGATTTATAGTTTTTATCATACCACTGCAATAGGGCAATTTTTTATTACAATTTTATACCTCTTTTGGCAGTTAATTTTTTTCCCCATAAACTCTTTTTGAAAAAAATATATCTGAAAATGAAGAAAATAAAAACAAAGAAAAGTATTTCATAAATGCGTGTTGGTGTACGCTTTCACTCAGTCCTTTTTTTTTAGCTAAAATAATCAAAGAATTACATGACTTATATTCCTAAGGGCCAAATTATTTTATACTTGAAGGTATGACTGGAAATATATGGACGTCAAGCTGAGGGCAGATCAAGTCTTACAACAAGGGGAAGGAGTTTGCAAGGATTACTGTAAACTATTCGGCGAGATGTGCAAGTAAGTTTCCTAACAATCTTTTAATGTATGAGTAACTTTTTATATATTGTTATCTGTGTACGGGTTCGTAATGGATTGAATGCAAATAGAACCGATGATAGCTTGATAAAATTTACTTTCCCTAAAGAAAAAGGTCTTGCACCTTCCAAAAAAGTACTCGTACAGCATTTCTCAATCCGTAAAGAGCACAATCTGTAGTCACTCCTTCAGACTACTAAGAACATTAAACACAACGCAGTGCAAAGCTCATCTAAGGGAAGCTCGCACGAAGATCTCTCAATACTCCAAAGTCAACTCTGAACTAAGATGCTCTCTCTGATCTTATATAGTCTTCCCCCCCCCCACCCGTGCTTCGAGAAATTTCCAGTACCTTCGATTTCTTGAAACTGCTGGAAGGCATATACTGTTACACAGAGGGTCAAATACAATTGCAGTTACACAGGGACCGGAACAAAATGTCGCCAATTCTGTCGACGTATGGCGCTTTTACGTTAATTTGGTTATAAAACATTAGTCGCCAAAACCATCGCTAGCTTGGCGATAAGCGAGATATCCATTTACCTCAATGTTAAAAATAGACTAGCTCCTGTAATCTTATTTTTTTGACAAAGCTTCTATGCTTGAAGCCTTTCATATTGCATTATACTAAATTTGTGTTACTAAATTTTGTGTGTTACTAAATTCGTAACACACAAAATCTGAGAACGAGTTTCTTTTTTATATGACTAAATTTAAAAGAAAATTCAAATTGATGAATGTTATTTCAACCAACTGTGCCAGAAAATGCTGAACACATGCAACTAATTTAATTTGAAAATAAATATATCTTATATTAGCATGGTTTAATAAAAAAAATATCTTTTATGATACGCGTGATAGAATTTCCTTTCGCAGTACATAATGGATTCTTTTTACGCCATTTCGATTTACGACACCAGTTTAGAAAGACAACACCAGCATAAAACAAACGTTGGCAGTACTGATTCAAGTTCTTGATGAATAAGTAAGAATCAAAAATAGACATAATATAAGCACTTGAAAAGGGGGTCACGAAGCAACACGCGATTTATATCACGCAATCTGGCAGAACTTTTTTGGATTCGGCCATTGATCCCTCAACTTTACGTACTTTACATCAGCTGACCATATGCAAATGTCATTCAGTTTTTGGACTTTGACCAAAATTCTTTTAGTGAAGTTTCTCGTGATACTTTCTTATCTAATGGTAACTTTTTAATCTGTCTAAAGATACACACGTTTTGTAAATTAAGAAAAGATCCACTTTAATAAAAAGAAGTTGTAATTATACATTTTTGTAGCACTTATGTGTAAATTATCTTCTATTATTAAATATTATTCTTTTTAAAAAAGGAATGCAAACATAATGGGTTTGAAAATGCCGAGAAAAACTGTAAAGCAAAATGATTTATAATACTTAAATTCATCGAACGCATGTAAACCCCAAATAGTTTAATCAAACAATCTAAACACTTATGCATAGGAAGTTTTCGAAATTGAATTGCATTTAAAGCAGGTATTATTTCACTGCTATTAATTTTTGTATTGTAAGGTATTTCTCTCGCCTCCTTAGCAAGCCTTCATAGTGTAGTGGTCAGCACGCTCGACGCAAATTCGAGAGGTCCGTGGTTCGAGTCTCGCCGAGGACATTGCTCATTTTTCACATCTCTTGCTTCGAAATAACCTAATGACTCTACAGTGGCGCCCGAACTAAAAAAGGTGATGAATAATGACACTTCACCACCAAGATTTGCAGACAGGGTCTCCTAAAACCTCAGTCGGCCTTTAAAAGGGGGAGTGTATAAGGTATTTCTCCCGCCTTCTTAGCATGCCTTCGTAGTGTAGTGGTCAGCACGCTCGACGCAAATTCGAGAGGTCCGTGGTTCGAGTCCTGGCGAGGGCATTGTTCCACATCTCCTGCTTCGAAATAACCTAATGACTCTACGGTATTATATGCAAGGATTGAGACAAAACTTGATCTCAAATCAATTATTTGCGCCTACGTTTAAATTTTATTTACATAAATAATTTCTTTTAAAAATGTATTTCAGAAAGCTGTTTTAATCTGATTGTAAAATGTATACTATTTACAACATGCAGCAAAACAAAATCAGAATATCATGTATTTATATACAAGTAGTTGTGCCATTTTGCCAGCCTAGGAAAGAAGGGATTTAAGCGAAATAACAGTTTAAGCTAAAAAAAAAATAGCATACTACTTTATATGATGCCACTTCATAATATCCGCATCCACTTGGTTCCGTAAAGAGAGTTTTATTAGCTGAGCTTATGAAAGCGAAAAGCAGCTTTGGATAATATACACTGGAAATTTAAAATTAGGCAATATAAAAGTTTTCTCAAAAAGACAATTGTGCAGCTGACATACTGATGAATTTTTCGTTAAGGAAATACAAATCTGTGCATTTAACTTAAATGGATCGTTAAAAGCCTCTGATTTCTTTATTCTCTATAATCAAGTACAACTCCGCGCAAATAGTCCTTGAGCAAGTTCGAATTGTCAATATATGTGAAGGAAGACATTTCATATCATCAGCAATTTTGGTGGAATTTGTCAATGTTACATTTTAAATTTCCAATAGTGCAGATGTTTCGTTTGTCATTTTATCACTCACAATCTTATCACCGAGCAGAAGCATCAAGTGTCGCTGAATATGGCAGGAGTTGCGTCTAAAGCTTTCATGAATTCTTCTTCCGTAATTTTCAAAGCTATTGCAGCTTCTGAGTGCATTTTTTGCCTTTTTAAGTTGTTGATCAACTGCATCTGCTTCTTGATGACGTTATGTAAATCAGTACTCTGTTTTTGTAAGTTTTTATTTTCAGATATCAGATCTTCGATTTTACGTTGAGCACATTCTTGTTGGGTCTTTTCGTTTTCTTTACATTGATTAAGTTCCTTTTTTAATTTCTCGTTGCACGCCAGTTTTTCTGTGAGTTTCTTCTCCAAATTAGAATTGGCAACAGATATACTTTTATGTCTTTGAGTCAAATTTTCAACTTCTAGTTTAGCCGAAGTCAATTCTTGTGACTTTATTTCGCAATGTTTGGTCTTATCCTCTAAAGTCTTTTGCAACTTGGTGATGTTTTTCTCATTTAATGCATTTTTACATTGCAGCTCTGTATGACTGGTTTCTACTTCTTTTAAACGTTCTTGTAATGACAAAATAGTATCTTCTTTGATGACCAGTTCTTGTACGAGCTTCGCAATTTCTTCTTTTAAATTTTTAACCTGAGCACTGAGTACATCCAGCATAGCATTATTTGCTTTGTTCTGTGAATTTTCTAAGGCATTTTCCTCTTCTCGTAATATTTCATCTTTGCCTTTGCCCATTTTAATTGATTTCATTTTGGAAATGGAGTTCTGTGAATCAAGTTCGATGATACTAATGTTTAAAAGTGTTGAGTCAATTTGGCTGACAAGTTTTTTGTCTTCCTCCGTAGTTCCACTTACATTTTATTTTATAATAGGAAAATTAGTATTTGGCTTTTTACTTGAATTTTTACCGGCTAATGATTTCACTGTGAGACATTCGTTCATTTCAATATGTTACTTTATGCAGGAATTTTGGATGTCAGCATCAAACTGCGGGAACTTAAATAGCTTCAAAAACAAAGAGACTTCTTTTTTTATAAATATAATGTAACCAAATACATATTAATTATGAAAATGTTTTACTAAAGATGCATTTTTCTAATATCTAATGGTAGTGATATTAAATACGTAAACTATATATAATCACAGTTTTCAAATGATATACTCAATTTTTAAAAATTTATCGTTTCATTAAAGCAATACTTATTCCATAAAAAGCTCAAATTTCCGAATCTGTGTCCTATTTTTTAAAAATATGAAATGCTATCAAAGGTCTATTCGAAAGACTAGGTTTAAGGATAAATTATAAATTCGTGCTCTTACAGAACTTTAGATATAAACAAGATGAGTATAAAGAAATTTAATTACAAAATATAATCGACATCATGCTTCAAATTACTTATATCCTAAACATACGGAAATACTTTTTGAAAGCATTTATAACATAGTAACGAAACATCAATAGTCGCTAAAAAATAGGCATTTTACGTAAGAGCTTTTAAAAGGGTTACGTTTAAATAGTCTTCATCTCCTACTCAGAAAGAAATTTAAAAAACCAACTAAAAACTCGTAAGTTTCTGGATTTCTATTACTTTATTATCAATAATGCCACGCACTAACTAATTTTGGCTAGAAGAGTAGCAATATCAGAAAAGAAGTTGCCATCTGTTGTTGTTGAACTTACAAATAAACATTAAAACATACTTTTTTGAGTAATACGTTTTCTTTTACAACTGAAGAGCTTGAATTGCGTTACTAAACTTATCTTTATTCAGAATCTCAACATCTCAACTTTACTCGGAATTACTTTAAGCTCATCTCCAATAATAAATAAAAATGAAAATATGGCTGCGAGTTTTTTTATTATTATGTCATGAAAACAACAGCTGAAATATAAATTTAAATTTTTACTTATGTAATTAACTGATACTTTAAATCATATAACTTTAAACTGATCAATCGAAAAGGCATATATGTGAGAGCGACGAGTACTGTTCTTAGTGGCGTAGCTAGGGTGGGGCAAAGGGAGACATCTGTCTCCGGTCGCAGCATCCAGAGGAGCCAAATTGATGTTAAGAAATTTCAGAATTAATTTTTTTTTTATTCTTGGCACATAAAAAGGGGCGCGAGTTGTCCCCAGGCGCTGAAATCCCTAGCTATGCCTCTGACTGTTCTGTTATCGGGACCGGATTAAGAAATGTATTCATGTACGCAACGGGTGTACTTATGCATGAGTGTATGTGTATATGTGTATATACGCATATATATGTACATACATGAATGTACATACATTCATACATACAGGCATACATATATACATTTATGAACAACAGAAGAGTAACCTATAACAGAAGAGTAACCTAGTGACGTATAAGGGAAAGGCACATGTAATTCTAAAATTATTTTATTTTTCATTTATTTGATTTTTGTATTTTGTATTAAATATTTCTTACTCTTATTAATTACATACAAGAAATTTATATTGAAAGATGTCAATTAAAACTTCTGAAAAATTTTCTAATTGTTAACTTGCTTTTGCTTAGAATCCGTTCAAAATCGCCTTTCCTAATTCCTTAAAGTATGGCATTGCACTAGTGTTTACATAAGTAACTTTTTTAACATATGGTGTTTCAATGTTTCTGAAGTTTTCAACTCGTTTAGGTTTGTATTTAGGTCAACGGAATGGTTTGAATATCGATTTAATATTAATCACCATAATTTGCGCCATTATGTCCTACCTCCATAACTTAACGCTAAGGTAGGTTCAGCTTAATGTTAGGTAGATTCCTTGTTTCAGCTGTTAAGATCATCTATATGGACAAGGTCTTGAAACGTGATTGATCATTGACTCAACTTCTTTTGAAATTATTAGACATCTTCTTAGACTTACACTTTTTCAAAGGAAGAAAGGATCGAAATTTAGTATTTTCCTCCTTGTTTGAGAGCAGCAATGACTTTTCATACCAAATCGTTGCTATAATGTGTTTTTACTAATCGTATTTTTTGTGATTTACTGTTGAAATCGTTAATGCAGTTTGCTGGAAACGAAATGAAATATAATTGTGTCAGTGATGGCAGAACACATAAGCGTTCAAGACAATAACGCATAAACAAAATGAGTTTTTTCCCATCAGTTTGTCAAACTTATTCAAAACGATAAATATATATTATCCGTGCCTTTCTGTTATTTGTTTAGCACCTAGATATCTTCTTCACATTATGGAACCTGTGGTGTTTCGATAACTCCTCTACAGATAGAGGAGAACATTAAGTAACACTTTTTTGATGCGTACTTAACATAGTTTCAGATGGCTGGTATACAGAAATAAACACATGAAAATGGACTGTATTTCTTCACTTTTATTTAATTACTCTAATTCTAATAATACGAAAATTACTACAACATAGCAAGCCATTCCACACGGTTGTCACAAGAACAAAAGTCTCGTCACCACTAGTTTTGTTGTCGTATGCAACAAAAGGTAAAGAGAAACATTCCAAAGCGATAAATCACAGGTTAATTACCTTGTATTTCTGTTTAAAGCGGATTGATGATTTCGCCATCAAATAAACAAACCAAGCGATCTTATTTTTATAAGCTCGCAATATTCGCATGAACAGATAACACGCGCCTATTTTTCGATAAGCAGCCTAACGTATAATTTGGGAAGAGGTGTAATTTTATATTCCATTTCTCAAGGAAAAGGGGTTTGTAAGATAACCTATGGACAACTAACAGCCAAAGATTTGAAAGGACATGTCTAAAACCTAATGTTCAATCCACAACTTGTTTTGAGGACACAATCCAGGACAATGCCTCAAGACTTTCAAAAAGTAAACTTACGTTGTAAAACATAAAATGATATAGTAAATAAAGATTCTTTTTATCTGACTCAAGATCAAAACCAAAATTTTTGGAACGTATAACTGAGATTATGCGTCAAAGATTAACCTATAAATAAGAAAACGTAAGTTTATTTTTCTATCACTTACTATGAAAACCGATAAAATCGTGTTAACGAGAGGAACATATCTGAAATGCTCTTAAAGTTAAACAATTAGTCCGATTGCACACCAAATACTCCGAATTTCATCCAGGTTCTTTTTGGAAACGGTAAAGACATAAGTAAGAAAAGTATTCTTTTTTAAATACATCTCACATTAGCAAGAAAGATAGCAAGAGAATCCATGTGATCAAAGTAGGTCATGCGATAAATTGACATACGCTAAAATTTCCATTAACCATCTTAATTATTATATGGATAAGCACGTAACACTAGAAACTGATATTGTACTGTAAAAATGTAATTAACGTTTACATCCTATACAAAATAAAGTCTTCGGAAATTTTGAACAACATAGACTACTTACCTAAAACAGGATTTAGATGAAATAATAAAATTTGATTTGGTTTTCAGTGCCTCTTTGGAAGAAGTATACTACTTGCATATTTTTCAGACCATGCAGCAAATGCAGACTACTACATACTTCTAAATTTCAGACTCTTACGTGCAAAGGATGAAATTAGAACCAGTTAAATCTTCAATTTCTCTTCCTACTGATGTATTGTTGTTTCCTTTAGATTTAAGCTATGGTCTTAGTTTTATAAAATCCTATCATCTTCCTTCTTCTTTATCTTTCACCATACACACTTCTGTGGTTTTGCCACTTATATTTCTTATTCTGTGGTTTTGTCACTTATATTTCTTATTCTGTGGTTTTGTCACTTATATTTTCGAGTTTAACCATCAGGAATAATTTCAGTGAAGCTTGATGCTGTTACCTTTCCGTTGATGGAATTTTCCTATTTTCAGATATCAGGAATATGCATTTCTTTTCCAGCCGGGAATTAGAGTTAAGCCTTTTAAATGTGTTCTAAATTTTAGCGATGATTTTCACTGCATTAAAAATCGAGAGTTTCCTTCAAGTCAGTGTTCCCGTGAGTTGTCTGAGAACATTTTTGGCAGACGATGCACTGATAACTAGACAAATTAATTAACCGCTCGCAGAAAATTGGAATTTCAATGTTTCCACAATCTGTGTTTCTTGTGAATTCTTGTTAGTACGTGAGAACATCTTTTCTAAGTCACGCGTCTCAAGAAACGTGACGGAAATTGTAATTGTCTTCACCAGATGGCAGCACTACCATTTATGGATCGAGTGAGGAAACGCTTTTGCAAAGTAAATGAGGAAGAACTTGGAAAGCAAAAGTTTTTTACAGACAAAAAACAGCATTTAATTAAGTAGCAAAAAAAAAAAAAAAAAAGCTAAGGAAAACAAACAAACAAAAAAATATCAGTATTATTTCCAATTTTTTCCTAGAAGAATGAAGTAAACAGTCGGGTAATACAGTTTATTCAATACTCTACATTAACATTATTCTCAACGCTTCTTTCAAAAAAAAAAAAAAAAAATATTTAGAATAGCTTATTGTTATATTATTGTTTACATTTTAGAAGACAAAGTTAAATATGGCAGTTTGTGTTTTTTTTTTTTTTTTTTTTTTTTTTTTTTTGTTCCACTTTGTTCTAAGAGAACTGCTTTCGTGACAGATGTGGTGATATCAAAAATCGCAAAATAAAAAAAATTATATTTCATTCCCGTTCCATGATTCTTATTCTCTTTAATTCATATAGACGATCCCATTCTTTTTCATGAATTCTTTGTAATCCCTTTACGAGCCTAACTTACAATAGCCTATTACAATAAACGAACAAATTGCATAAATTACCAAACTATGTTAAAAATAAGAATAGGATAACATTCTGACTCTCTCTTCATTCATACAAAAGCTGCATCTAGGTAGCACAATTATCCTCCTTTTAGTTACACTTTTAAAAAATGCAAACCTCATTACTCACAGTTAATTTAGAAAGGTCTTCCAGATTCATCAAAATAAACAAAAAGACGAATTTAAAGAGAACTGGATTATCTGTAACTTGTTGCTAATAGAAGGCAGTTATGCTACAAGAGTAAAAGTTTTACAAAAATGCCTCGAACAAGGTTCTTTTACCTTACCTAGTTAAAATATTGTGAGATAGCACATAGTATAATTCTTACAAATATTGTAGGGATCTTGAAGTCCTAAAACTGTGCTTTAATTTTTTACGGCAATAGAAAGTTTTTTTTTTTTTTTTTTTTTTTTTAAAGTTTGGTAAAAACAAGAAATTTCAAATGAGATAGAACTAAATTAAGAGAATTTCATTAAAACGGCACAAAGTTAGAGTTTCTAATTCTTGAAAATCAGAGACTCTTATATAGAAATATTTGCAAAGAATTTATAAAGAAGCATTATTTGGAAGAGCAATATTTATTGTTCAGTGGCAGCTAGATGTCGGCAACAGTGACAACAAAACCTTGTCTAAGCATAAATCTAAACACAAAATCAAATTTCAGAACTATCCAAATCCCAAGAAACTACTTTGATACTGATAAATTAGGATAATAGTAACGAACTATATAGAAAATGAACGAACTTTATAGCTTTGATATAGCAACGAACTCGCTCTGTATTATGCATCACTTTAAATCTGATTATTGAATTGAATTTGGCACCACGTAACCGAATAAATGG